TTAACCTGTTTGGACAATCAATTACCTTCCAGTTAACTATTATAGGGATAGTTAGGAGATACATAACATTATTCCTATTACAAGGAATTACATCAGAGTCAGCTCATTCATGAGTCAACACAATACATTACATGAGTACCTTACATGAAAACATTACATGAGTACCTTACATGAATACATTACATGAGTACCTTAAATGAGTACATTACATGAGTACCTTACATGAATACCTTACATGAGTACCTTTACGTAGATACATCTTCCTGTATACATTTACATGGATACTTGTACCTCGACTCACTATGTTGATTTATTAGTACCTTCTGTGTAAATTGTCCTGCCTATCCCAGTTCAACGGTATATCTAGATAGGACTAACCATTCCGAAACCCACGTGTTAGAACCAGTGGTTGATGAACATTTATGGATGCCTACGGTTATTACTTATATTAGGGGTACCTTTACGGGACTAACCATTCCTTAGGCCTACTGTTCGCTACACAGGTTGATAAACATCTACGGATGCCTACGGTTAATACTTATATTAGGAGTACCTTTACGGGACTAACCCTTCCTCCCACTTGCTGTAGCTACAGAGGAAAATTGAATAATCTACGAATGTACAAAGGTTATACATTTCGCTTTTCGCGATGTCGTGTTAATCCTAATACAAAAGGATAACAATTACATTAGTACATTTTCCTATTACTTTAATTTTGTGATACATTCACATAAACGATGATTTAGACTATATATTGTTAATAATAGCCATAAAAGGAAAAACTATCATTTTCACTTAAAAAACATTCGGGTCTTGGTAGAAGACTACATTTCATACTAGTAGGAAATAAGGGATTTCTCTAGGGTTTTCATACTTATATCAACTGTTTCATTCAAAGATTTACATAGCATACCTAACAGCTTTCCAAAACAAGACAATGACATTTAAATACTTATGAATTCACCAGCTTTAGGCTGATACTCGCTTTCAAAATACCTTGTATTCTCAGGTCACTAGTAGACAGGTACGATGGTCAGGTTTTGAGAAGATGGAGCACAGACAAGACTCGTCTTTTATTTTGATTGTATATTTTGGTGTCTTATTAGAATGAAATAACATATATGTATTAAAACTTTACTTTTAATGCAATGGATGATGTTGTTGCTTGTTTACTACTTTACACTGTTGTGATACTGTACATGACGCCCTCCACCCCGGAACGTTTCCGCCGTTCTTGGTTTTAGGGTGTGACAGAACATGATAGAGCCTATTGTGGAAGCGTAAGGTACTCGGCTCATATCAACTATCTTTGCCTCTGTACTCGGGCTTTGAGTCTAACTCAACTTGGTATTGCTTTGGATTGGCAACTCCCCTTTCTTGGAATTTTCCATACTAAAATGCTTTAGTACCATATCAAAGTATGTATCCTGACTGTGTCCTATCAGTCTCTTTTCCATATTTCCTACTATCCTTATCCCCAGAATATAAGCAGCCTCTCTGAGGTCCTTCATAGCTAAACATTTCCCAAGCCAGGACTTGACCTCCTGCAAGGTTGGGACATCGTTTCCTATGAGTAATATGTCATCAGCATACAATACGAGGAAGCTCACTATACTCCAACTGGATTTGACATATACACAAGATTCATCTTCGTTTCAAAAAAAGCCAAACTCTTTAACTTTCTTGTCAAAACAAAGATTCCATCTACGAGACGCTTGTTTCAACCCATAAATGGATTTCTCAAGCTTACACACTCTATTTGGATGCTTCGCATCGACAAAACCCTCTGGCTGATTCATATACATATCCTCAGCCAACTTCGCATTAAGGAAAGCGGTTTTCACGTCCATCTGCCAGATTTCATAATCATGAAACGCAACTATTGCAAGCATTAGCCTAATAGACTTTATCTTTGTAACTGGTGAGAAGGTCTCATCATAGTCAACTCAGGGAGTTTGAGTAAAGCCCTTCACAACCAATCGCGCTCTATAAGTGTGCACATTCCCATCCATGTCCGTCTTCTTCTTGAAGATCCACTTGCACCCAACTGTCTTACGACCTGATACATTATCAACCAAGTTCCAAACTTAGTTGTCGTACTTGGACAGAATCTCCTTGTCCATCACCTCTTTCCATTTAGCAGACTCCGGGCCTGCCATGGCTTCTTTGTAGCTGCTAGGTTCGTCTAAATTCATTAGTGTTTCATCACTAATAAACGTATCCCCTTCAGTAGTAATATGAAAACCAAAAAAATGGGGTTGAACACTAACCCTACTAAAACGTCTAAGAGGTAAGGAGTCGTCAAAAGGTTCAACAAGAGTTTTCTCCTTGGGTTAAGTGCCAGTGTTAGAAGTTCCTTCATCGCTTTGCTCTTGAATATCTTCAAGATCAATTTGCCTCCCACTGTCTTCTTGGCTTATCAATTCCCTTTCTCGGAAAACTCCTATTTTAGCAACGAAGACAACATTGTCATTCGGTCTATAGAAAAGATAGCCAAAAGACTTCAGATAGCCGATGAAATAACACTTCTCACTATGAGGTTCGAGCTTGTCGTGAGTATCTCGTCTTATGAAAGCCTCGCAACCCTAAACCTTAATATGTGCTAACAAGGTAGCTTTCCCCGTCCACATCTCGTGAGGAGTCTTGGTAACCTTCTTGGTGGGAACTAAGTTAAGGATGTAGGTGATAGTCTCTAAGGCATACCCCTAAAAAGCTATTGGTAATGAAGTTCGACTCATCATACAACGAACCATGTCCAACAATGTTCGATTACGTCTCTCAGCCACACCATTCAATAGTGGTGTTCTCGAAGGCGTTAATTGCAAAACATTTCCATGTTCTTTTATATAGTCGTGAAACTCAAGACTTAGGTACTCTCATCCTCGGTCTGACCGAAGAATCTTGATTTTCCTGCCCAGCTGATTATCCACTTCATTCTTAAACTCTTTGAACTTTTCAAAGGTTTCCGACTTTTGCTTGATTAAGTAGATGTATCCATATCTACTATAATCATTCGTAAAAGTCAGGTACACTACTAGAAAAATAGCCTTTTACGACGCGCGAACCATGACACGCAGTGATTTATGATACGCAAAGGTGAGTGTCTAAAAAATAATGTCATCTCTTCCAAAATTTAAAGGATTTCAGACGTGCATTTTTGCGGGCCCTAAAATTAGTGTCTAAACAAAAAAAATAAAAACACGGAGGGCACCTGCGTGTCATCTACGACCGTCGCTTTATAAATTTTAATAGAACGCGCGCGTTCCATCCGGGGAAAATGAAATCCCAAAAACTTAAAATCCCCGCCTTCCTTTTTTTTCTCCCTCCACTTTAATTTCCTTAGTAGCTAGGGCTTTTTTTCAAGAACTTGCCCCGATTATGCCCTCCTCTACTGCTCATTCTCCCTTTAACTTCCCTTTCTCTCCTTCTCACTTCGACAAACCCTTTCTCTTTTTCTCGGTTCTCGACGTCGACAGCTTCTCCCACCTCCGACGTTTCTCTTGGTGTTGGCGCCTCCCACCTCTGACCTCCGTCTAGCCCCGCCCCACCATCCAATGCTTTCCAGCGTCACCCAGCCGATGGAGCCCCTCATCTCCGGCAATCTCACCTCGCCTGCCCTTACCAGCAACATTAGGTCTGGTGACCCAGACCGAGAAAACTCAGAGCCTTCGGAGGAGTGGTGGCACTACTCAAATTCCAGCGACGGAAGGAAACTCTCTATCACAGCAACAGAAAGTCGGAGACTGGAATGGGAGAAAGAGAAATAGAAATCGAGAAATCGGCTTAAACAGTAAATGGGGAAGAATCGATGATGCACGCAACATGTTTGATAAAATGCCTCATCCGCCATGGTCTTAATCTACAAGTCTCTCTCTCTCTCACTCTCTCTCTCTCTCTCTCTCTACCCCATACTTCTCGACAACCACCCAGGCACCCACCACCCTTCGTTTTCTCTCTGGTTCACCACACTTCTCCTTCCTATGTTTCTGTTTCATATTTTATGGATACCTCAATCTTCCGTGATGATTATGAATGTAGTCATAGAGTACTCGCTCCACTATCATTTTCAATCATTTTAGGGCATGGAGAGGTAATTTTTCTAGTCGGGGAGGGTTTCAATTATATATCTACTATATCTATTTCTAACTTTTTTACAGAGGATCGTTATGATTTAGGTTTCAGTTTAGCTTCCGAGACACCTCACATGATAAGTGCAGCTATTAAAGGCATAACTCCATTGAGTTATAAGTTTACTTATCTTGTATCCGTTGCTTTTAGTGTTTTTCAAGTTCTAGTTGTTGACAATTATCAATATTTTTTTATGTAACCGAATAAGTGTATTCCACCTGGCCGATAAATAATCCATCTAAAATTCAATCCCCCTTTTTTACCCAGGCTAATTCAGTAACCCAAGTACTCTGGGGACTAGGGGTTCGCCACTGGAACAAAACTGTACGGACAATTCCAATCTCTTGTAAGTTTCGTTAATTTGAATATTTGATTTGTTGTGATGCGGCTTAGATCTTAATTACACTCGGATGCTCGCTTAGAAATAGATAATTTTTACAATTCGATTCACCCTTAATCTGTCATTTCGTTTTTGAAATCAATGATCCATCGTGATTGGGCTTTATGTGAGCATCTTCGTTTTCTAGATTTGAACTTTGTGGAATATCTAATATTACGTTAGATTTGCCATTAATTCGATAATTGTTTGCAATTTCAATTAGGCTTAGCATTTTAGGGCATGACCGTTTGGAATCTGTGTTTATGTTTGGTGTTTTGGTTTCGTTGCCTTTATTTGTTTCGTGTTTTCATGATGCATCTGAACTGTACTGGTTTTAGGTGTCTAATAATATACTGTAAATATGAAGTGATATAGCTGTATTTTTCTTTAGCATGCCAGATGTGGCGTCTAATTTTATATCTAACTGTAACTTCTGTAATTGTGATTGATGATTTTGGGATTTTAGGCTTACCATCCGGGTTGATTACTAGATATGGGGGTTTACCTAAGCACACCTAAAATTGATAAAACATCCGATGATGGTGAGAATGAGAAACTGAGATATGGAGTCTCATCCATGCAAGGATGGCGCACATCAATGGAAGATGTTGTAAGTCCCTAGTATAGGCTACTTGTTAGTTATATAAGCTATTGTTCCTGTTTGGATTTTCTATATTCTAAAAAGGTATGATAGTTTAATGCTCTTGTAATCTTGTTGAATTTTCTCTATATCTCTCTATGATACAACTTTCAGTCAGCCTAAACATTGATCACTATAGTAATTAACCAAGATTTTATGTGTCAATATGAGGTGTTTGGTAGCATGCTGCTTTACTTGACTTGGACAACTCCACATCTTTCTTTGGCGTTTATGATGGCCATGGAGGTAAGCATATGGATATAGATTATATACACGTATGTTTGTTTCTTCATATATAAGGTGTCCTCACTAAGCTTTCTTTTTTATCTTTCAGGGCAGGCAGTCTCTAAGTTCTGTGCCAAGTATCTTCACTAGCAACTCCTGAAGCAGGAAGCTTATGCTGCTGGTGATATTGGAACTGCTGCCCATAAATCTTTTCTCAAGTTACTCTTCTATGTTATCTATTCACACTAACCAAATACATGGCTGTTTTGTCTTGTCTGTTATCTGAAGAAATTGGTATCATTATGCATAATGGATGAGATGATGTGTGGACAACGTGGCTGGAGAGAGTTGGCTATATTGGGAAATAAAATGGATCAATTCAGTGGCATGATAGAGGGACTAATTTGGTCACCAAAGGGTAACGATTTAAAAGGTCTAAATGATAATTGGTCTACTAATATTGGGAAATAAAATGGATCAATTCAGTGGCTTGTTAAGCTCTTTCAATCTGTTGGGACATACAACACCTATCCAGGCTGGATCCCTTCTACTTCTGGGCCCATTTCTTGATTACTGGTTAACAGAAAAGAGAGTCAACATGTTTAAATATGATATTTCCTCTATGGTGAGTAAGAGTATTTATACAACTTAAACCAGTAATTGTTAACAGAATCATGGTTTTATCTGTGTAGGATTTCTTGGTGTTATTGATAGAGGATAAGGAATTGGTCGAAAATCCTATGATTGATGCTTGGTTGCTGAAGAATAGAAAAAGTCCCTGGGTTGGGAAGAAAGAAGGGTTACAAGGATGTTGGATCTTTTATTGAACTCACTCCTGATGCATCTGAAGTGGTAAGTCTATTTGTTCCCTGGAGGATAATATTGTAATTGTTCTACTTGTTCTAAAGCTACATCCCTATCATATACACACAATTAAATTTTACGAATTTATCCCAACCTAATACCCATACGCATATGTCCATTTTAACACACACCTACATTCAACTATCCGCAATAGAAAACTATCATTTAGAATAACAAAAATATATTAAAATTTAAATATAAGTAAGCATATACCTGCAACCTAACTTCTAGAATAAATTTCAACTGTGTCTTGGGTTGGCATTACCTCTCACTAAGTTTTGAAAGCTGAAATTTTACCAGATGTTAATAAACCTAATAAAATACTAAAAAAAATACTTTTTAGTTTTTCATATAATATTACCAAAAAAAAATATTGGAATTCTAACTTACACGAACTGTTTGCATATGCAGTAAATCCGCAAGTGCTTTTTGCCTCGACTGTTAATGTGAAAAAAAGAATCAAAGTATTATGTATCAGAAACATAAATTTAAAAATATATAGAAAATTACAATTATGCCCTTGTATACTGATTGGTTAGTAGCCCAACGTTCATAATAGTGAGTATATCTCTCTAAAGAATTCTTTGCCATTTCACTTCTGTGTTCAGATTCATCATACTACAAATGGAAGTGGAATGAATTACAAGATTAAAGATTTGAGACTTTATTGAATTTAGAGTAAAATACAATTAGTTTTATTACATGATGTTTATAATTCATGCATGTTTACAGCTGCATTTGCAACCTTGTTCTAACAACAAACCCACATGTAGTATTTAATTGTTTATTTACGGTTGTGCCCCTGAACTATTATGTATTAACATCCATAAGCCTTTTGTTCTCATGTTAGTTAAGATTCATAAAGATACTTATGTTCTAGCTGAATATAAATAAGTCTTTCTAGTAGCCCCACCCTTATCCTTAGCAACATAATTAATTACATTAGCATCTAATGTAATTCGGTTCTGCTTACAGTAACGAGGAAGAAGCAAGCCATTGTATCTAGTAGTTTTGGAGGAAACGAGACTCAAGAAAAAAGCAAACACACGGAGAGTTGTTGGCAGATAGTAAGCTAGATAATGCAATTGTATATTCTGCTTCTCTTGAGTTCATTTTTTTATAACATTTACTCACTATTGGAATAATTATTTGTATTTGACATATTAGTGAAATGAATTATCTTTGTTATTTATGGTATTTTATTTGTATGACATTAAATTTTATGCAATGGATTGTATTTTTTGTATATGATATTTATTTTCTATTATGAGACATTAAATACAAATTTAATTTGAAAATTAGTAAATCTGAAAATATTTTTTTTAAACATTTAAATTTATGATACGCAAAAATGTGTGTCATCTTCATTTATGACATGGCCTTTCTTGACAGGGGCTTTTTTGATACGCACTGCGTGTCATTAACACACGCGTCATAAGGTTACGACACGCGAATGCGTGTCGTCTTACTTTATGATAGGGCCTTCCTTGATACGCATTGCGTGTCGTAAACGCGCGTCGTAATTGCGCGTCGTAAATGAGCGTCATAAATGCGCGTCGTCTCTCTTTATGACAGGGCCTTCCTTGACACGCATTTGCGCGTCGTCTGAGCCTTTTACGACGCGCAATGAGTGTCGTAAAAGGCTGTTTTTCTAGTAGTGGTAAAAGCAACAAGCATCCCTTGTGGTGGATCTAAAGGGCCCACACACATCGGTGTGTATGAGATCAATTAGAACCTCACCTCTTTCACAAGTACCAGTAAAGGGTGACTTGGTTATCTTCCCAAGCAAACAAGATTCACACGTGTCATCATCCCTTAGGTGAATGACTTCAACACTCCATCCTTTTGGAGTTGGGCGATGCGCTTCTTGTTGACTTGGCCAAGGCGACAATGCCATAAGCAAGCTTTGTATAGGCTAGTAGACGAATCAATATTCAACACATAATTTCCTAAATTAGCAACAACCATCACAGATGCATAAATCACATTACAGGGTAATGCATTGAAATAAAAGCCACCATTCAAATAAACATTAATAGAACCATTACTATTATCAAAAGAACATCTAAAACCTTGTTTAAACAATCCATGAAATGAAATAATGTTTCTTGTCATATCTGGCGAATAATAGCAATTTTCTAAATCTAACCCTAACCCATTACTCAACACTAAAGAATAAACTTTGATTATGGTCATAGGCGACGATCTTCTGTTTCCCATAATCAAGTTTATTTTCCCATGTTCCGTCTCCCTACTTCTTCTTAGGCCCTGCAAATAAGAACAAATGTTGTAACCACACCCTGTATCTAGAACCCATGAAGTAGCAAATGATGAGTTATTAGATTTAATGGAATACATACCTGCGAAGGTGGGCTTAATCTTCCCATCCTTTATGTATTGCAGATACTTAGGGCAGCTTCATTTCTAGTGGCCCTTCTGGTGGTAGTAATAGCACTCCACTTCTTTGGGGTCAGAAGAGGGTTTCACCGAACCAGCTTTGGTTCCACTAGAAGAGCAACCATCTTGGGTCTTACCCTTACGGTGACCCTTACATGGAGCCTTTCTCTTATTTCCCTTTCCTATACCAATTGCCAACACAGGAGCAGCCACAACAGGGGATGGTGCAACAAATTTGTCTTTGGGGTTTCTCTCAGTTGTCCTTGGAGTTTGCTCAAGGAGACCTCTTCCTTATTCATGTAGTAGGTCATTCTGAACTGGTTGTAGCATGAAGGTTGTTGGGTTTTGAGCATTCTAACACTCCTAAGTGTACATGCAACCTTAAATACCTTGGATCTATGTTTTCTCTATTATACATGCAAATATGAATATTCCAAGGAATTCATCCAAACTAGCATAATAACATTGATTCATATGAATATATCAAGTTAGAATTACATACCTAGTTGATGTAGAATGTCTTCATGAAGCTTGAGAGCCTAGTGCCCCAAGTGTGACACCTCAAATGGTTCACACAACATCATATGCACTTGGAAAGACTTGAGAGAAATCCACACATCGTAAAAATTGAGTAGCCCTTTCACATATCTTCTAGTCTAGTGGCCGATTTTTGTCAACAATAAGATGTTTATATAGTTAGTGACAATTAGGGTAAACACTAACTCTCATGGATTTCCATTTCCTTAAATCCATGGGTTCAAATATACCATGGAGGATCCATGGAGCATCTTATGGGTTTTAGCCCAACTTGACAATCCATGAAGCATCAGCTCACTATACAAGTATGGATGATTTACACAATCAACCAATATATTTAATTAGTCTTCTTTTGATCACTTAATTACTCCTAGGTTAATTCTTGATCAATACTAATTAAATAATATTATTAATATATTAGAACTTATAATATATTAACAAACCTTAAGTGTTATTTCTCTCATTATAGTCTATCCAAATGCATGATGCCATGCAACCCAAATGGACCATGTCGAGTCGGGTCAAGTCTTACCAATTATTGTTATGGACTTATACATTAATCCAACAAAGGCAGGGAGTGGACGATTATGTCGATAGCCAAATCCTCATCAAACTTAACATTAATTTTGAGAAGACAATCAACATACCTTTACATTTTCTGCAAATGAGAGGTTAGGGATTGCCCACTCCCCCATCTTAGTGGTTATCATGTTATTAATGATCTTATAGAGCTCTTGCCTCGTGCTTTGGTTTTACCGGTCCAACAAATCCTAATGCATTTCATATGGATACATGTCCTCATAGGACTTTGGAGTTTGAGGTTCATGGTGGCCAGCATGATGCAATGAACTTTCGTAGCATCACGCTCGTGGGCCTCAAAGGTCGCCAATTCTTCAGGAGTAGCAACATCTCGGATGATCTTCTCAAGCTTTTCATCGAAGACATATTCTTTATCCTCGTAGTGAGTGATCATCCAAATATACCTCATCCACTCATTGAACTTTGACCCATCAAATGTCATCTTTTGACATAGGTTCATCAACGAGAATGACCCAGAAGCGTTGTTGTTGTTGTTTACAGACATCTGAAAAAGAAAAGGAACAAAGTTTGATTAGAAATAAGTCCCTAATTAAACACGCAAATGAGAAATTATGGCTAGGACCCAACAACATTAGTTACAACTTAGAAAGGGATGTCGTACTCTAAAAGTAAATAATTTGAAGGTAAGTGAATGATGATTCACTAATCTCACCATGAAAAATGAAAAAGAGATTTAAGTTTTGAATGTATTGAAAACTCCTAGATCTTTGAGATTCATTGAACTTTTTAATGGTATATTTCAATCTCGATATGCACCTTAAATTTGCAATTGGGATATCGAGGATCGCAAAGAAGTTGTGAATAACCATGCGAATCAACATGGTGTATTCAATGTCTCTTACACCTAATCAATGTGCCGGTAAACCACACACGCTCCATTGATCTATGACAAACATCGAGTCACCCTTCGCCACCAATGTCAATCCTAAATTAGTGTGTCGGTTAACCACACATGCTCCATTAACGTTTGACAAGGGTACAAAGTGTAATTCCATGGAATAGTATCATTTTCACATTTTTCCCTAAAGTAGCTAAGACTAGGAATTTGTAAAAACATTGTAACTACTTTGTATCTTACATTATACTTTTAATGAGAAGAGGATTTCCCTATCCTACCCGTTCGGCTGATGACCCTCCACCAGTTAAGCAAGCGGTGGGTGTGAGTGTACACCCATTAAGCTCCATTTTATAGGCAACAACCTTATATCCACCTTATAGACCGACTTCGTGAATGAGGCCTACTAACGGTAAGACTACCATTTTAACTTATACATACATACATACATATATATATATATATATATATATATATATATATATATATATATATATATATATATATATATAAAGCTTGTAATAATAGTATAGGGTTCAATTTTAAACTTGTAAAATTCTAAGGGTTTCAAATTTAAATTATTCAAAATTAAAC